TTAAATACCCTTTTCATCACTTCTTAAAAGTCCCTCGATTAGGATTTTGATGTCGCTCTAAAAACATATTCGTTATATATTTTTATTCGAAATTTGAAGTAAAAAATATTTTAATTCTATTTATTTTTAATTTATAATAAAGTAAAAAATAAATTTACTTTAAAAATAAAATAATGTATTTATTTTTCGAGAGAATTAGCCGATCCCTAGTAGAGATCCAAATTAGTGACTCACCCATAACTTGACATTAAAACAATTTTTTTACAATTTGGTTTCGGTTTGACATTTACACACTTTTTACATTTTCTTTCTCTCTGCAATTTATTTTGACAATCTCTTTCCCTTGACATTCTTCCTGGCATTCTCTTTCGCTTCTCTGTCTTCTTAACCTCATCCTCTCTTTTTTTTTTTTTCAGATTCTCTTCATTCTTTTTTTCTTCATTTCTTTCTATTTCTTTGAATATGTTTTTTTTCTTTATCAATTTTAATCAAGATACATAAAATTTTGGATGCCAATATCTTGATATTCTAATGAAACCCAAAGATGATTTAACACCAAATTTTGATAAAATTGCTGAAATTTATGATAGAGATCTATTGATGGTGAAGGTTAGTAATTCTCATATGAATTTAATTCACATTTAGAACGCATGTATTACAATTTTCTTGTATGATATACTACCATATATTTGTAGAAATATGATACATGTCAAAAAAAGTTAACACTTTAGTATCTGTTAAGATACTTATTTGATTACCAAGTTAGGTGATATATTCTTTATAATTCAGTATTAGTAATTAGTCTAATATATAATTTACCATGTAACAGATAAATTAGTTACTAAAGTTTAAGTTAACGAATAAAACAACACATGTAGCATGTAACAATCGTTATTGTTTATCGTTGATGTGTCATTTAACATATGTATTAACTGTTAACATAGATATTAGCTGAAACATATAATAATTGATGTATGATGTAACACATAAGTTAGTTACTAAAATTTTAGGTAAGGAGTAAAACAATATATGTAGCATGTAACAATCGTAATTGTAGGTTGTTAATAATTGATTTATCATTTAAAATATGTGTTAACAGCATAGGTATTACCTGAAACTTCACATACAACACTTTATGTGCCAACTAAAAAAAGCTTCGCTCTTTAGTTGTTTCCAAATCTTGAAAAAGACTTCCTCAATTGTTATAATTCTAGATCCGACATGACTTTGACTTACGCAGCAAAACACATCTCAGCTCTGATTTGCACACATGGATCTAAAAGACCAAACCCCAAAAAACAATAGATCAAATTTTTAAAAAGACCAATCAAACCCAGAAAAAAATCATTAGTGGAAACAATAAAACTTTAGTTTGAATCACTTGGTAAGTAATATAGAATTGTTTTTTGGGAAAAGATGAAAGAAAAATTAGAGATAAAATGAAAATAATTAGAAAAACAGATAAGATAAAACTAGGAAAAACAAAAAAGAAACATACAAAAGATTTAAAGAGGAAATGAGGGAAAGAAAAATTAAACGAGAAGATAAGAAAGAGAAAGAGTTAAAGAAAAAAATTGTTCTAGAGATTGAGTTAAGGGAGAATTTGGTGAATATACAAAACAGAAAAAGAAATTAAAAATATAGCTATGATTTTGACATAATTAAATCGGTAACATTTAGCCCACAAAAGATTCGGTTTTTCCTTATTAAGTACAAGTTTCCGGTCACACGAACAGCGGTGGAAATTACATCTGTTTGTCACATGGAATAGTAAGCTTCCGTGTTCCGTATGGTATAGTACTAAGTAGAAGATATTACTGGCCGGTGAGGTTAATGGAACAACGAAAGAGAAGACTAAAGAAGCAAATGAGATGATCTGATTTGTATAAGAACCGGTGCTATATGTACGTGTTGCGTTTCATTTCTATTTTATATGTACATAATAGTATAGAACATAAGACAAATAGAAAAAGTCTTCTTTCCTAATTATTTTTTACTAAATGACGGTGGTGTACTTGGGATGTACATTTTATGCTATCTATAAACCATGGCCTCACTAACAATGTGAGTCATGTACTTTATGAAACAGAAAAAAGTGTTCGACTTAGTTTGAATTAATAAAATGAAAGGTTGACAACATACAAATTGCGAGTAACTTAATTTATAGATGACCTATGCCTTTGACGATAAGCAAATATCCACCACAGTTTGAACTCGTTGGAAGTTACCAACTGGTGAGAGAGAATGTAATGAACAAAAATTACAGAGAATGTATGGCATCCANAACAGAAAAAAGTGTTCGACTTAGTTTGAATTAATAAAATGAAAGGTTGACAACATACAAATTGCGAGTAACTTAATTTATAGATGACCTATGCCTTTGACGATAAGCAAATATCCACCACAGTTTGAACTCGTTGGAAGTTACCAACTGGTGAGAGAGAATGTAATGAACAAAAATTACAGAGAATGTATGGCATCCATCTTCAACAATTTCCTAAACTGCAAAGCATTTAATGTAGGTTAAAATAGTTATTAACTCATATTTTACCCGTTGCCTCAAATCCTATTTCAAACAATTTTTTTGAAGACATGGTTAATCTATGACAACCTGATAATATGAAATTCAAAAGCAAATATGTCACTGAACGCAGAAATGTGGATATAATTCATAGTGTGGCCCTTAACTATTAAGTCAAAACCGTAATTAATAAATCTTAACCCTAATCACTGATCTATAAAACCCAGATAGAATCGATATAATATGCACAAAATTTCTCATACTGTACTGGACATAGTATGGAACCTCTTTAAATAGTATAGAAATGGTAGCTTACTCCATTTCCAGTAGTTGTTATTATGCTAAAATACCAAACCCAAGAAAAACCCGTAATTGATAAATCTAAAGCATTTAACGTAGGTTAAAATAGTTATTAACCCGTATTTTACCTGTTGCCTCAAATCCTAGTTCAAACAATTTTTTTGAAGACATGATTCATCCATGACAACCTGATAATATGAAAACCAAAAGCAAATATGTCACTGAACGCAGAAATGTGGATACAATACATAGTGTGGCCCCTAAATATTAGTCAAAACCGTAATTAATAAATCTAACCCCTAATCACTGATCTATAAACCCAAATAGAATCGATATAATATGCTGCAAATTTCTCATATTGTACTGGACATAGTATGAAACCTCTTTAAATAGTATAGAAAGGGTAGCTTACTCCATTTACAGTAGTTGTTATTATGCTAAAATACCAAACCCAAGAAAAACCCGCAATTGATAAATCTAAACCCTAATCATGATCTATAAACCCAAATAGAATCTATATAATATGCTGTAAATTTCTCATACTGTACTAGACATAGTATGAGACCTATTTAAATAGTACATAATGGGTAGTTTACTCCATTTCCATAAGTTGTTATTAAACTAAAATACTAAAAGCCAAGATAAACCCTTATTTACTAAATCCTAAACCCTAATCAGTGATCTAGAAACCCAAATATAATTTATATAAGATGCTGCATATTTTTCATGTTTTGCTAAACATAGTATGAAACCTGTATAAATAGTATAGAAGAAAAGTTTACTTCATTTCCATTAATTGTTATTATGCTTAAATACTAACAACCAAGAAAAACTTCTACTTACAAAATCTAAACCCTAATCAGTGATCTATAAACCCAAATAGAATCTATATAAGGGGAAAAATCATTACTGTTGAGATTTGTGATAATGAAATCAAGAAATTATACATGCAATTTCAGAGTTAGGATACCAAATCAAAGAAAAGAAACTTACAATAGGGTATTGGAAACACCATATGAAAGATGAATTTATATAACCCACGAAATAGGTGTATATTACAACCAATCAAACAAAATGACAGAGAAGAGAATTATCAAATCTGGAAACATAGCAAATTGTTCTTTTTCAAAGAAATAGTATAGAAATATATGAAATAGAAGGCTACATCTTAAAATAGTATAGTAATCTTACATGGATAGCCACAATAAATAGCATATACTATACTATAACTTCATATAGTATAGTCGGCGATTCCATCTCCTTCTCTTTTTCAAACGTGGCGACCTGCACTCACCGGTCTACCGTTGTTATTCCTAACCACCAACATAAACTTATTAGCTTTAAATTTCTTTTGGAGTACGAATCTCTGAATGCGAATCTGAGATTGCAACTTCACCTCACAGCCAATGTGGTGCTTTCTTACTCGCGACTCTCAGTTTCAGAACCCCAGAAACTTTCTCCTTCTCTCACCACACAAGACTTTGAACTTTGTCTTCTTTTCACATCGACGTGAACCCAAATAGTTACTTCGTGAATTTTGTAAATCTGAGATGATACATATTCACCTTTCCTCTTTAGTTTATTAAAAGTTAGCTTCAAATGATATGTGAACAAGAAAGAACCACGATTTATCTTTTATATTATCTAATTATTAATTTTAATTATTTTGGTTGCAGGTTTCATCGGTTTTTTTTTAAAATGGCACAATTGTATTATTATAAAAAATATATGTTGTATCGTTGTTAAGTAGGTCAAAACGTTAGATAGTGAATTATAGAATATTTTTACGTTATAGAGTACAATTTTCCTTGAGTTAAAGAGGATTGACAAGAGAGCTTTACTGCACCACTATACAAAGGGTCGTCAGTATTAAAACAAGGTTAATTATGGAAGAAAAATAATACTGTCATTTCAAGTTCAAAGTTCAAATTGAGATATCGTTTATGGGCACGAGAGCCAATTTTCTCCTATTTTTATTTGTTATTTTATTTTATTTTATTTCAATATAGAATAGAGTTAAAGTAAAATCCAACTTTATTGTGGAGTTACTCTATTAATGTATACGCGCTTTCTAAAGTGTCCAACATATCCATCGTTGATCATTAAATTAAAAGCTTAAGATACGACATGCATTCTTAATTTGGTGATCCATATCTAGAAAACAAGCAATTTATTTATTAAAAAAGAAACATAACAACAATACAGAAAGGTGAGGAAGGATCGTGTGGTATCACGACCCTCCCTTATTGAATCATACATAACGCAAACATATAGAAAAAAAAAAAGCTGATGAAGGATCGTATGTTATCACGACTCTCCCTTACTGAATCACACACACATAACAAACAATCACAGATGGTAATGATTAAGCAGAGTTAAACTCGTAAAAGAAGAGATCATCAAAGCGGTCATTGGTCACAGCTTTGCCACCATGCATCAGCAGCCCTTTCTTACCATTAACTGTCCCACTCGTGGAAGCTGTCCATCCCCTGATAGCCGGAGTCATCTCCTGCTTCGCTTCTTCCTTTTTCTTCTTGTGGCTTCCAAAAGGGTTTCCGATAGAAACATCTAAATCTATTAGAATCGGGATCCCAACATGTATTGATAGTCCTGACCCATTCTTTGTCTCCTCCTCCGCCTTCACCTCTTCACCTAACTTATCCAACCTCTCCCACTTCAACGTCTCTGTATCCAACGCAAAAGTCCCATCGGTCATTTGTCCCGGGCCCACGTGAGCTTGTGGGTCCATATCAATCTCACCTCCGAATATCACAATGTGTTTCCCAACAACTGCACTAGCGAAAACGCTCCTCCCGGAAGGCTTCTCACCGAATGTTTCCACTTCTGTCCACTTGTCCTCAACAGGATCATAGTAATAAACATCATCAATTTCATAGTTGTTGAAACCATAAACCACCCAAACCTTCCCATTCACCACTTCGAGTCCGGATCCTCCTCTTATGCTAAAGGATTCACCAGGGGTCGCACAATGCTTCCACTTCTGATCAGCGATGTTGTAAGCGTCCAGGGTCTTGATCCGGCTCGTAGCACTCACTCCACCGAAAACATAAATGTTTTTCTCATCGGCAGCCATAGAGTGGAAGCTACGAGGAGTGGGTCCTTCTTCAACCGGAGTTAGTAGTTTCCACACGTTTTTGGTCGTGTCATAAGAGTAGAAACCGTTGTATTTGCGGGCCGCGTCTCGGCCACCAAAGACATAGAGGGTTGTTCCAACTGACACCATTCGGACGCCTAAGCAAGCGAGGTGTGGAATGTCTCCCTTGGCTGGAGCAATGGACCATTTCCCGCTCTTGAGGTCAAAGACGTAAAGGTCTTTGTCAATAGGCACATTTGGTGTAAACTCACCACCAAAGGAGTAAATCTTGTTTCCTACTTGTGCTATGGCATGTGAGCATCTTAGCCCTGGGACCTTTCCTTTTTGCTCCACCTTATAAAATATACCATATATATTTGTTATCAGTTTTTAAAAAGAGATTTACGAATCTGATCATATCAAGGTTTACACGTTCTTTTAATTAATTCAAGTTTAATAAAGTTATATAATATGACCACTATTACGTTGATTTTTCAGATTTAGTCAAGCTTCTCGTCACATAGTCTATTTTAATGTCGATCTAAAAGATTTCTACCTTTGTCCACTTTCCATGCAATTGATGAGTGGATATTGGGTCAGAAATATAGGCTCCAAGGGAGTGTAGAACATTGGTGGAACGCCCGTGAAACCCAACGATTTTGCCACCTTGGAGAACAAACTTCACCCCCGGACCCTCCTTGAAGTGCTTATTGGTTTTGCCTTTGGAAGTCTCGAACTTAAGAGCCACGATGGTTTCTTGAGTTGCTGTCTCACGGAAAGCTTCTACGTAAACGATGTAGTCATTTTCATCAACCTCAAACTACATATAAAAAAAAAAAAAAAACAATTCTCAGTACAAAACCAATATTGAACAAAAATTTGATATTTTCAACCTAATATAGTATATGTTATTAGTACCTCCTCAACTTTTTGTGTGTGTTCTCCATGTTCATCTCCAATAACCACTTCAGAATCATCAACATACTCAAACTTGACGAAGGATATACAACTCTGGCCTTGCCCTACATATACTTTTCTAACATTTTCGTGAACACCATCAGCCCATACATTTCCTTTCTTACCACCCTTTGCTTCCAACTTTAGGGCCATCTCTTTTGCTTGCTTGCGCTTGATCTATCTTACGAATATTACTAAATAATATACTACCAAAACAATAAAGTGGGATAGAGGGAGAGAGATTGAGAGACCTTACCTGAGAATAGTGTTATTAAATTGGTGCTGTGATCCATAATAGGAAATTACATGGTTATTTATAGAAACATGGGAAGTTCTCATCGACGAAATTCTTCATATATTTTATATCTCGCGATACACAAGACATTAAATAATGAATGAATACACGTTACTAGACGTGAAGAACCGAAAATAGTTGCTCGGAATATAATTTCACTACACCCAATACACATGGATAATGCGTCAATAATGAAACTAAAAGACAAGCCAACTCATAGCTTCTTAACTAATTATTAATTCAAGGAGCGTTGCCAGGAGTATGAACAGAGCCAATCTCGTGGCAAATCCTCCATTAATGAAATACAACTAAACCCTTAATTTAATAATCACTCCAATTCAATTTTTCTTTTAGCAACATACTCCATTTCCAATTAAATGTCATTCTAAGTCTTTTCACGTCAACTGAGAAAAGGATAAATATTCAGTTTTATCCTTTTTAACTATTAAAATTACATTTTTTTCATTTTTTTGATAAATGTAGGGGTAAAATAAATAAGTTAAAGAGATCACCTTGAAATTTTAAAACGATATTTTTTTGTGATTTCTACAACGATACTTAAAATAAAATAAAATGGAAGAAGTATTTGATAACTAGATAAAGATGATAGATTATATTTCATCGATTATCATTATATGTTAAATGTGTCATATTTTCTTAATTGCTAGGATATATTTATAGTTTTGCAGTGTTTTTTTTTGATTAATCTAGGGATATCCGAGCCTATGGAGAAGACAAACTAATCTCTAAAGAGAAGTAAAATTTATAGATAGATCATTTCTTCGAGTATACAAAAGAGCCTGGACCCATATTCATATAGGTATCCAGAACAATGTGACTTAGTTTCGCATATCAATATAGTTTTGCAGTGTTGGTAAGAATAAAAATATATTTCATTTGTAATCTTTTATTCATATGTTCATGAAATGTAGGCATTATATTCCCTTAAACTTTTTCTTAAAATATTATCTCTAAAACTTAAAAATCTACAGTGTAATAGGGAAGAAAGATTATAAATTGTCAAAATATCCAAATAATTTATAATTCAGATTGATAAATTTTGTCATTTTACATACAGGCTTGTAGTTTTAAAAAAAAATTATATAATGGTCTAGTTTTCAAATTGAAACCTCAAAAATAAGTGTATTTTCCAAAATTTCTCTTAACAAAATACAATAATTTATGATTTCATAATAAATAAGCATGATATAATCCCTACTTGCCAAAATTATGCTTCATGGATCGAGAATGGCAAGGTAAGTGGTTTAGGGTGGAGTCCTAAAGATGAAATGGGTTCTGAATTTTTTGGACTACGAGCATGCAACAAGATCCTCTCAGCCTTACATGCTGAGATGGAAGGTTTACTTTGGGGCCTTGGGCTACTTCATGTTTAAGGAACATGCGGATAACTTCGGTACGGACTGCTCGGATCTTTTGGACATGACTACGAACTCGATGGATTGGCCAGCTTGGACATCGGAGACAGAGTTATTCTAGAGACTTCAAAAAGACTTTGAGGATGTGATCATGATTCATATTCCTAGAAGTATGAATGGTCGAGCAGACGCACTGGCGAAAGAAACAAGAACTAAAGGCTATATTTTCTCCCATATAGATCAGACACGTGTAGATGAAGATGCTCCTCGGAGTACCGAATCGTCTGGACAACACTTGATCTAAATTTAAATGGGCAGCGGAAAAAGAAAAGCATGATAAAATTATATTTTTTTATGCTAAATGGAATCTTTCTTTTCTCTTTTTTTGTTCTCTTTTTTTTTTTTAATATTTATAACTCTGCAGTTTTCGGACATGAAAAGAAAAACAATTATTCATAGATTCTATATTTCCCTATATAATCATTTTATTCATATATTGATGAAATATACTCATTATATCCTCTTAAAAATATTTTAATTTTATTTGCCGTGATATAAGCAACTTCCTATATAATAGTTGAGAAGCGTTGATATAATTTATGTTACATTTTAACATGTGTTTTTAAAACTATTGTTTGTAAATATGAGATATTATATTAAATTTTGACATATAAAATCAAAGACACATAGATCACATAATTAATATTTCACTGAGTTCAGTTATTCGAATATATAATTAAAATCACGATTTTTATTTTTTGAAAATAGCAGAATATAATAGCAGAATATAATAGCAGAATATACTATATTCTCTATACACAACGAGTGGATTGGCTCAAATCAAATTCAAATATTTTTAGAAATCAACAAAATCTCAGTAATTTTAAAATAATTTAGCTATCTGTATATTCAAAAAAAAAAAATCTGAATTTGAATATTTTTAAATATAAAAAATATAGTTTAGTAATTTCTGCTTATATCTCTGATGTATTATCATCAATACTCAAATCAAATAATATATGGTTTGAAAAATAAAATAAAAGTTCCTTTTATTATGTTTATAATGTCGGTATATGTTTATATATATATATATATATATATATATATATATATACAGAATAAGATCTTTAAATCTAAACAATGGTAAATATACAAATTTAAGTTTTAGTTATTTAAATCCATACTAGATCTTGATCAGTACCACCGTGCGGGTTTCCTTTTTTACTATAATATTATAATTTATATAATAAAATTTATCACTAAATTAATATAAACTGGTGCTTATCATCTAAATTTATAATAAACTTTTGCATGCCTTATAATATTATTACTATAAATTTTGTATATTTGCAACAAAATTTATTTAGAAAACATTATTATATAACAATACTGTTTCACATAAATTTTTGTTTTGTTTTTTTTTTTGAAATTTGAAATATATAGAATTTGTTTTTGTAAATTACAAAATATATAGTATTTTTTCTGGAAAATATTTCAAACACTACTATTTTGTATCTAAAATATTCTTTTAAATGTTATTAAATTTTATTTTGAAAATATTTTTGGAACATAAGAGATTAATGTAGTTTTGAGTTTTAGAATTATTATTTTTAGTCTAAAGATCAACCACAAAAAACTTTATCAATCAAATATATATTACAAACACTTATTTTATTATTTTTTTAAATTCAAAGTTAGAGTTTGATACTTAAGTGTCCCAGTGTAGTATGGTTATACCATATATTTTCATCTAGTGAATAAATATAGTTAGAGTTAAAATGAAATATTTAATATATATTACAAACACTTATTTTTATTATTTTGTAAATTTAATGTTAGAGTTTGATACTTAAGTGTCCCCGTGTAGTATGGTTATACCATAGATTTTCATCTAGTGATTAAATATAGTTAGTGTTAAAATGAAATATTAAATATATATTACAAACACTTATTTTTATTATTTTGTAAATTTAATGTTAGAGTTTGATACTTAAGTGTCCCCGTGTAGTATGGTTATACCATAGATTTTCATCTAGTGATTAAATATAGTTAGTGTTAAAATGAAATATAGACTAACATGTGAAATGAAAGTATGAAACATAGGAAAATTATACTACTTGTAACTTATGTTTTATATGAATGATTAGTATAAGATTTGGATGTCTTAGTTTAAGATAACATTAAGTTTTTCACGTTGTGTTAAAATTTTAAATATAGTAAGCATAACTTTACGTTTTAGTATGATGAGTTTTATAGGTAAAAGTTGTTATTATGGTTGAGATATATTGGGTGATTCATTAATGATGTTAAAATTTTATTAAGAAATAAATGAAACATATTTTTTTAAGGATTGTCTATGTTTAAAAATATCAAACATGAGGAGAAGTTATGAGTTCTTTTTAATAGAATAGATTTGTTTGAATAACCAATATTTAAGAAAGAAAAAAGCTTAAAGCCTTTGGGGCTGAATATAAATATAGCATGACAAGCTATATTTCACGGCTCAATCAGCGATAAAGTTTTGTTGACAACGAAGAAAAGAGAAGCCAGTAGCAAAGAAACAAGATGATAGAAGTCTATGAGAATTTCATAAAGCTCCATAGATCGAGTTTTTGTATAGATAGTTCGAAGAATACATGAGAGTCTAAGTTTTGATAAGAAAAAAAAATATGAGAGTCTAAGTAACTTCTAAATCATATTGTAGAATGTTTATATATTTTCATAAACATCGTTATTCTGAAAAACAATGTTTATGAATGAATAATATAGGTACTATAGTTTATTAATTTATAAACTATTAGTCTATGATTTTGTTTTTAAATAATATAAAAACAATAGCTAATAAACTCATTATCACTATATAATTTAAATAATACAACATTTTTTAGAATATTAATACTTAAATAAAAAAAAATTATTTGAGAAATTGCCTTCTCTATACACACAAAACCCCAAAATTAGGGATATATCATATTTTCTTCTGTCTCTCTCCTCCCCACTTACCATTTTTTCCCCAATGTGAAGTTATTTTGACTGAAAGTTAAAAGCAATGTTTTTAAACTCGACCCAGACAGTGAACCAGGCACCTTACCGGGTCACCGGGTTACTGGGTCAACCACGGGTCAATACGTTAATTAATTTTAATAAATAACTAGATTCTGATCCGTCCTTTCAAAGGGCGGGTATATATTTTGGTTTTAAATTTCTATTGAGAAATTTAATTTTTATATTTGTGTTTTTTTAACAATATCCTATTTATGTTTAGTATTAATTTAATTTAATTTAATTTAATTTTTGATAACAATATTAAATATGTCAAATTGCATAACTATACATTTATACCATGTTCATTTAAGAAAATATTTTTAAACATTTTTTCTAAAATTTGTATATTTTCTTAGTAATTACCTAACATAATTAGTCAAAAATATTCGTATTCGAAAAACAAAATTCAGAACTGACCCAAAAACAAAATCTCATAC